TCTGCTTCAGAAATTACCGCTGAAATAAGACTTTAACCACTATAATTGTTGCAAATTGCTTTGTCTCTCCAGAATAGTTGTTTCTTTTGGGGTAAATTTCTCTTGCACTCTTACCATATATCTTGCTGTTGGCTAGAGGAATTGACCACTGACTTAGGCCATTAATAGACTTCCAGTCCTGTAAGCAGTTATCAGTCCAGGAATGTGCACAAGATCCAACTGGGCCAATGTCTTCCTCTGGAAGTTAAATGAATACTGACCCCCAGGAGAGACAGGCTTTCTTTCCTACTGATGTGGGGAGAGAAGTAGAGGAAACAGGCACAGAGTTCTGATAACAAAATGAGTTCCTGAACTATTGTGCTTGAGACCAACTTAGCACCTGCTCTTTACAGACTCATGCAACAATAGAGTCCTCTTTTTACTTATGCCAGTTTGGTTGGAGTTTTCTACTTGCAGTCATCATAAATATCCTAGTTATCTACTGTTGCATGACACACTACCTCCAAATTTAATAGCATAAGGCCATCACTGTGGATTCTGCCGTGAATTCTGTGGGTCAGTAATTCAGACAGAGTACCATAGGACTGGTAACTCCAAGGTCCACAATGTCTGATGCCTCAGCTAATGAGACTTGAGCAGCTGCCATAGCTCAGATAGCTCAAATGCTAGGACTAGAACAATGGGGCTGAAGATGTCTCCTTCACAAACTTCTCTGACATCTGGGCTGGGATAAGTCACAGGCTGGGCTCACCCGGGACTGCTGCTTGGAGCAACAGTGTGTTGCTTCTCTACATGTAGCGAGAGTTTTTTACAACCCAGTGGCTAGGTTTAAGAGCAGTCATTCCAAAGAGAAGTATTAGGAGAACAAGGGTTCCAAGACAGCCAGGTGAAGCTAAATGACCATTTATGGTCTAGGCTCTGAGGTCACAGAGCATCACTTCTAATGTACTTCTAAAGCCATCAAGGAGAGGGGACATGGACCCCACCACTTGATAGATGAAATCTTGAGAAACTTGTGGTCATTAAAAAAGTGACAAGTGCAACAATCTTAATACATGTCTTCCCTTTTGTGTATCCAGGCTCAGCACTCCATCCCCTCCTCTCTGTCAATGCTTACTCTGATGTCTTTAAAACTCATCTCCTCCAGAAAACTCTCCCTGACTTTCCTTATTTTACTCAGAGGTCCATTTTAATCATTTAATAAAAGGCAAAAGATGTATTTAAACTGGAGAGAAACCAGAATATCTTTACTAATTCTCATCTCCTTGATGCTAGTGATAAGCATTTCTAGTATAATCTTAGGTACATCTATGCGTTACAGAGCCACAGACGTTGAAAGATAAAAGTAATGTGAGAAATGATATAGTTGATATCCTTAATTTTGCAGATTCAGTTCAAAAGACCTCTGTTAAACTCAACTCTATGCCAACCATTATGCAAGTTCAGAGGATGCAAAGCTGGACTACGTGCACAGAATAGCCGATAAGTATAGACCAGGTGCAGAGGCTCATGCCTGTAATCCCAGCACTTTTGGAAGGCCAAAGCAGGAAGATCGCTTGAAGACAGGAGTCCAAGACCAGCCTGGGCAACAAAGCGAGACCCCATCCAGAAAAAAAAAATTAGCTGGGCATGTTGGTATGCATCTGTAGTCCTAGCTACTTGGGAGGCTGAGGTGGGAGGATTGCTTGAGCCCAGGAGGTTGAGGCTACAGTGAGTTATGACTGTGCCACTGCACTCTAGCCTGGGTGACAGAGTAAGACCCTATCTCAAAAAACAAATATAACCCAGGGAAGCATATCCTAAAGTATCTTTTGAAAACTCTCAAAAAAATTATAATGCAGGGAAGCATACCCTAAAGTATCTTTTGAAACTTGGGTTCCACTGAATGTTAATTTTATGAAGAAAAAAGTTACTGTTATCAATATATTTGTGAAATGCTAGATTCCGTAAAATTAAGCAGTTAAACATGCTCTTTATTGTAAGACTTTTTAGGGCCTTTACTATGTATGTATTAGCCTGAACAAATGTTTGTCAAATGAAGATTCTTGGATGAAAGTGTACTGTACATCCCTCTGAGATAGTGAGGTGAGGATGGGACAAAGTGTGCTACGTTTCTCAAACTTCTCTGTACACATAGCTCCTTTTCTTGAAGTACATGCCTTAAGTATTGTACTTTGGACACATTTGGGGAGTGAGAACAGTGCAAGCATTCCTTTTTAATTCCTTTCTTTCCTTTTCATATTGGCCTTGTCCAACTGGACTCCTTGGACTTCTGCCTCAGTATCTTTTGCACTTCTGTTTCTTCATGAAATGCAGATACAGCCCCAAACCCCAGTGTGCCGGTTGGGAAACTCAGACAATCTAGCTTCACTGTTACTAGAACCCTGTTCTGGGTGCTGTGTCCTGTGTCAGACACCTCAGGAGAGACATTCGACTTCAAATGGACTGAAGTTCCAAGGCATGATGTCAATGTTCACCAGAATTTGAGAATTACCCATCTGTTCCATTGAACCTTAAATGCTGTCTGTCGGAAACTTTCCTGAATTAGCTACCTTCTTCTTGGCAATTGAATTACCCTTGGCAAGGAATTACCCTGATTCAGGTCCTGAATTACAGTAGCCTCAATACTTTACATTTGGGTTGAGTCACATGCAATTACTGTTTTGGGGAATTAAAAACAGTTAAGTATTGGCATCTGCATAGTTTTACCTAATATCACTTCATCTTTACAATGTTTCTGTGAGTTAAGCCTGAGCTGGACCAGACCAAGGCACATGGGTATTGTGGCAGTCCAGTAATTTGTACCTTTTCAAACTGATCCTTTAAAATCTCTAGTATAGAGAGCCTGAATGTAGTGTGGCAAAGTGGATAAAGGGGATCCCTGTTGGCCATGACAGCAACTCTTCTATTTTACAGGACAATTAAGCTCTGGCCCAGGAATTCATAAAGCACTCTGCCAAACAAAAACCCTACTGTTAACCAGACACACCTGTCCTTAGAAGGTGGTTTGGCAACTATTACTATTTATTGTTACTTAATACTGTTCTTCTCCCTCAGCAATTGAATAAAATATTTCTTCCAGCCAGATATTTCTTCTCTGTGTAAGACATTCTGAGAAATAGTTTTTTCTTCTCTTATCTCATTTTATTTTCAATGATATTTTGAGGCATCATAAGTAACTGCCTGGAAGACATGACAGATTTCACCTGGCCCTGGATATTTTATCCCCATTTTGCAGATGAGGAATTCAGAGTTCAGACAGGTTAATGGGCTTATTAAAGGCCACACTGCCAATATGTGCTGGAGCTGGGATTTGAACTCAGGTCTGAAGGACTCCCAATCTGGTTGTCTTAAGCATGACAGGGTCTAGCTTTGTCTGCCCTCAGGCATGGTTTCCCTTGTTACATTAACTAAAAACATCGTACTTAAGAGCTTGTTACTCTGTTGCTTACTAATTGTACCTCTTGGGTAAGTTACTTAACCTGTCTGGTTCAGTTTCCTCATCTGTAAAGTAGAAATAATAAAGATTCATCTTTAAAAATGTTATTGTGAAGACTCAATGGCTTAAAAATAATAGTTAATGCTATTGTTGTTATTCCCCATCTCCTCCCATTTATTTCTATTTTCCCTCCGTTTCCAGTGGCTTGTGTTGCTGAAGACCCAGTCAGTATATCTTGGGCCATAATTTACCTAATCTGGAGGCAGCCTATTTGAGAGGCCAGATAAGCTGCATCCTTATTCCCGTCTCCGCTTGGAACTGATTCCCAGGAATTCTAAATGGCCAACATTAGGAGTTTAGATGATAGAAATTAAATAGCCATCAATAATACCCTAATGTTCGACATTTAAGTTGTGCCAAATGTTTGTAATTATACATACAAAGAGCAGGGACAATTAGTGGAAAATGAACTAGAAAATTAAAAGATTGAGAAACTGAAAATATAAACAATGACCCGACCATATGTGACAATAGAACTCTGACCTACAAACTCTACAGCAAGCCACCTGGGAAGTCAAACTACTAACTCTGGAGCAATCCACCCAGGACTTTGTCAGTGACTGCCAACTTACGTGTTTTTTCTCTCCACTGCTAACTCAGGACCAACTAGAGAGAGCCAAATATACTCCCCAACCCAACGACATAGGATGCTCTTCCATTAGTTATCCTGCCTCCAGCTTCCCAGTCCCAACAACCTCCTATCAAAGCACACTAGAAGCTTTGTCTCCTTTTTTTCACTATAAAGATTTCCCACTTCCCTACCTGACTTGAGCCTCTACCAAATTCAGGTGATGGTGACTGACTCCCTTGCTATCACAAGCTCTGAATAAGTAGCCTCTGCTTGTTCTAATTTGGGTGGTTTTTATTTCTAGAGATTTTCTGGGGCTTCCACTGACATATGGGCTATACTGCCCAGCACCGTGGATCCCAGACTTCAGCCAGGTTCAGCAGCCTCAGAAAGCCCCTGTGCCTTACTGTTCAGTTAGTCGAGTCAACACTTATGCGGGAAGTTAGCACTGAGTCTGAACTCCATGCTGTTGTGTTGGTTTCCCTGGCTATCTATTCTCAATTTAGCACCTGGTTTTTATTTTATTTTATTTTATTTTATTTTTGAGACAGGTTCTCGCTCTTGTTGTCCAGGCTGGAGTGCAGTGGCGCAATCTTGACTCACTGCAACCTCTGCCTCCCAGGTTCAAGCAATTCTCCTGCCTCAGCCTCCTGAGTAGCTGGGATTACAGGTGCCCACCACCACGCCCAGCTGATTGTTGTATTTTTGGTAGAGACAGGGTTTTGCCATGTTGGCCAGGCTTACCTTGAACTCCTGATTTCAGATGATCCACCTGCTTCGATCTCCCAAAGTGTTGGGATTACAGGCGTGGACCACCATGCCCGGCCGCACATGGGTTTTATTATTGGTTCCCATTTGTTTGGAATTCTTGGTAGAATAAGGTCATTCCTTTTCATCCCTTTCTTCTCTTTTTTTTTGTGTGTTTTTACATAGGACTTGTAGGTCTGTTGTTTGAGCCAGCCTTGCAGATGAGTGAGTTTGTGGTTCTCACTGGACTAGCATCTATACAGACAAACTTTGCTTGGGTCACCAATAAAACTGGGTAAGTTTCTTCTGTCTAGATTGTTTTGTCTTGAGAGCTTGGCTTTGATTCAGAGAGAGTCTTTTCTCCGGTTTTATGACTGCCGGGGGTGCTGCCTGCTTTTGGAGGCAGCCAACTGTCAGGTAGGGGTCCTGTGACATGAAGTGCAAAAGCATCACTTTTGACTGACTGTTGCCAGCTCTTGTGGGTTGTTTAAATAGAAATCCTCCTCAACTCCTGGGAAAAACTCCTGTGTCTTATGTATATTCTCATAACAATATGATTTTTTTCTCGTGCTTATCTCTTTAAATAGTAGAATTTTGCCACAGATGATTTGGGCATTCAGTGGCCACTCTGGGGAATGTTTGAACCTGAACAAAATTGTTCATTTGAGAGACGCTTTAGAAAATAAAAGGAATTAAGATTTCTCAGGCCCAATTGGTATCATTTCAAAAATTTAATTAGTATTCAGAGGCCTCAAAACAAAATTCTGAGAAAACATTGCTTAACTAAGAGATTTTTTTTATTTTTATTTTTGGCCAAAGCAAGTGAACAGTTTGACACACTTAGGTAACAATATACTGTATTTATTTTCCCTAGTAAATCATCTTCCTCCTTGTCCTCCAGTTACCTCCCTATGTCCAACTTTCTCTATTTTTCAAATCTCTCCTCTTCTGCATGTCCATGGACACATCTTACCTATTTACCTTGTCCAGATGCCCTACCTTTTCCTGAAGACTTGTTTAAAGGCCTCAAAATGTCAATTGCCTCTAAACATCTATCATCTTGCCTATGAGCCAGATAAAAGCTATAGTAGAATTAAAACCTCGGAGCCAAGCTGAATTAAGAGCTATAATTATGAAGTTCCCTAAATCCAGGCATGACCAGCAGCTATTCACAGAAGAATTTAGGATTGTTTTGAGTGCATATACCCCGTACACACTCAATAGAGTTAACTGATTTATATCCACTTGTACTCACGTTGGTTGGAACCTTAGATACTAAATTCTTGGTGGCAAAAGAAATGAGACTGACCCAAAAAGGGGTCTATAGGATCCCCCTTTCCGTAATAAATCTGAGAGTCAAAAAATAGGGCTGGAAAGTAGGACAAAGTTTCCCAAATGCCATACCTGAAACATTTGCAATAAAAACTAATTGGACTGCAATTAAATCATGCAAACAGAGAAAAGATGAAACTATAGAAAATTTTAGGATAGGCTAGAAAATACCATCTAACAACATCTGGTAGTTAAAGAAGATGTTGATGTAACGGCAGCCCTTTCATTGGGGACCTAATAAGAAAACAGAAATTAGAATGGAAAGTAAGCCTTTTATCTGAACTACAACACCCGGTAGAACGTCTTGAAAGGGATCTAGAACAAAATGAGACAGGAACCAAATAAACTTACACCACTGCAGACCAAACAGCTGGGTGGCTAACTTCCTAACAAACTATTAACAAAGATACCTGTAGAAATTGTGAACAGAAGGAAAAATGGAAAAAAGATGGTTTCATCTTGGAAAAGAAAAGCCAAGATAAAGAAAAATTTCTCAATTCAGATCAACAAGAGCTCTCCAAGGAAGAAAACAGTGCCCAACGTTCTGCCTTAGTCTTAAACATACAAGATGAATTAACTATAAATATAAATATTCAAACCTCACCAGTTCCTGGTAGATATGTGTACTACTCTTTCTACATTAAACTCTGCCACCTTTACTCAACTTCTTCCTTGGAGTAAACATACCACACAGGTGGTAGGTATTTCAAATAATGCATGGATTCCCTATCTCCTAGGCTTTAACTATAACCTTGACCCTGATTGTAAAGCATTTCTTTCTGCTCTGTGATACCACTGTTGTAAATATAAAAAGAGACTTACTTTGCAAATGGAATTGTAATATTAACAGAACACCAGAGGAACAGCTTCTTTAGGACTTTGAGGACTGCTCTGTTCATAATCAAGTTGTGCCTGCTCTGGGTATACCTTTGCTTCTTTCATTATTATTGATGTATATACCCCATGCGGAGATCTTGAAACTCTGTGAATGAAAAATGCTACTGACATAGGGAAAATAATTGGACAGACCTATTAAAGTTCTACCAAACTGTTACCCAAACTTCCCTAACATCCCTTGAAGCAGGAGAGAGAGAAAAAAGGACACAAACCTATAGTTGAAGGCTTTTTAGCCAAAGGCCTTCTCATACCCCAAAGTAGGCCTAGTAATGATCCTATTCTTCCAGTAAAACAAAACAAAGCAAAACAAACAAACAAAAAAACAAAAACAAACAACCAAATGGATAAAGATGTTGATTAGTTCAAGATCTCAGAGCCATCAACAGAATTGTAATTCCTCCATTTCTGGTAATATCTAACCTAAATATCATCCTTAGGCCCCTTGCTTCACTATAGTAGACATTTGTTCTGCCTTTTTTAGTCTGTCTTTAGTCGAAGACCAAAAAAATATTTTTGCCCTCCCCTGGGAAGGATGACAAAGTATCTGAGTAGTGATGCCCCAGTTATTCACTGAAATCACCTTCTATTTTTCCCAGGTCCCCAGTTAAGACTTAAAAGATCTAAATTTTCCTTACGATTCTGATACAATATGCAGCTGATCTACTTTGCTCAGAGAACAAGAAAGCCTGTAAAAAGGATACCATTTACTTCCTCATATTTTAAATTGAAAAGGACATACAGTCCTAGAAGATAAAATTACAATTTTTGCCAAAACATCGTCCATTATTTAGGACCAGACCCACCTATGGAGGAAAAAACACAATCTCCTGTTAGACTAAAGACCATCAAACTTATTCTAGACCCATTGCTGAATGATATTTGAGAGAATTTCTAAGTTTAACTGGATATTGCAGAAGAGTACCAAATTTTTTCTTAGATTTTCATACTTAATTATGAATTAAGTCCTCAGAAAGAGGCCTGCTCCTCTGGGAATGCAAATATGAAAAGGCCTTCTAGAATTTGAAGACAGTTCTTCAACAGCCTCCTTTCTTAGGCGTCCCTAACTACAAAAATCCCTTTGGTCTACTTGTGCATGAACAATCTGGACAAGCGCTGAGATTTTAATTCAACTGTATAGGAGTCACCACAAACTCACCACTTACTGTAGCCTCACCCTTGGTCCCATTACAAGAGCTTAAGCCCTTGTATATCTTAGGGCAATGGCTGCTGCAACCAAACTCATTCATGCCTCTGATGAACTAGTTTGAAGCTCCTTGCTTGACACCACAGTTTCTCACCCAACACAGAATTACTACTGATGGAGAACACACTATGTTTCCCAGTCATCTGATTAACTACTTAAGAGATTCTGTCACTTTCTCCCCTCTCCTATTACTATTTACCACCAAAACACTCTGAGTCCTGCCATTCTCCTGTCCCTAAAGGAAGCAAGGGAAATCTTATCATTCTCTAACCTCAGTTAGGAAGCTGACTTTATTTTACTGAGGTGTAGAAGAGACTCTCAGTAAGAACTTGGTCCAAATATTATTTGTTAATGGATCACACTTAAATCAGAGGGTAGCAGTCATCAAGCAGGATATGCTACCACTAATTTAAGCTCTTCTTTAGAACATAGTTCTCTACTTCAGGTCAAATAAACCTGGATGGCAGAACTTATTGTATTTACTAGAGCATGTAAACTGGCCAAAGACCAAAATGTAAATATATGTATGATAACATGTATGCTTTTGGAGTAATACTTGACTTTAAGATGCTTTGAAACAGAGGGTTTCTCATGTCCTCTGACATCCTCATTAAAAGTAGACAAGTTAAGGAACGTTTAGATACTACTACTTCCTAGTGAGGTAGCCATTATATAGGTTGAGGCCCATAGAAAAAGAGCTGGATTTCATCCAGCTTAGACTCTCCATGGGGTTTATGTTTTAGTTATTATATGTCTGTTTTCAGTATGTGTTGATGTTGAAGTATTTCCTTGCCAAAAAGCTACAGAACTTATAGTTGCTACAAAGCTGCTTGATTTTTTGTTTCCAACCTGGAGTATTCCAATTTGTATATATTAAGTTACTGAGACACACACTTTACAGGAACCATTATAAAAGAATGCTGTAAGGAATTATCAAAGCTGAAGACTACACTGCTTTTTTCCATCCACATCTTTTGGAAAGGCACCCTTAAATTGAAAGTAACATAATTATAAAACCTTTTAATAATCCTTTTTCTCTCTTGACCAAAGGTATTTCTACTAGCCACTATGGCTGTATGATCCACTCCCTTGGAAACAATCAGTTGTTCCCTTATTAACTGGTGCCCAGTCATGAATTAATAGATTTCATCTTTAATACTAGATTCTGCCCTGTCGCATGAAGACATGGCAAAATACTGCAAGGGACTCATGTACTATGCCCATTTCTACTGCCAATATTTTAAGGCCATTCTCTCACACATCTACCTAAGCAAAGTTTTCATGACTTGCAATGAGGAGATTTCATCTACTGTAAGAGACATAATAGAAAAACTGCACTCAAACCTCATTGGAAGGTACTTTAACAACAAATGCAGGAGTGGAACTCCTGGAAATTAATCCTTGGGTTTCTGTTTTACAATGAAAAAAGCAATACAGAATTCCATACAATTGGAAGGCTATTATATGTTAATATGGAACCTCAAACAGGAGTTTCAGAGATTCTCTAGAAGCAGGTGATCTTTGGAAGTAGTCATCTGACCTGAGACCATGAGAACAATCTGATGACCTCAGATAATGGACAGCTTCCCTTTTAGACCAAGACCCCTGTGTAATTCTTGTTTTGTTTTTCATCTGCTTGCTTGTAAACACCTTCTCACGTTCTATAGAGCCCTGATTGTTGTCCACCCATAATGGCTTCTTTTTTTATTTTAATTCCTCTTTATGATAATGATTAGGTTGGAACATTCTCATTCAAACTCATTCTTTGATTATTCCAAACCATAGCCCTGCCTTCAACTTTACCAACTTTTGGATATGCCATTAATCAATGGACCCCCATGATATCTTAGGGCAATTTCAGTCTCACCAAATAAGGCCATAAGGAACTACTGATTGCATTTCCATTTGTACCTACAAGGACAAATGTACTAAAATGAACCAACCTATAACTTTGCCAGTGTCCTTCTTTCCCCCAGAAAAGGAATACATTGTTACAATCTATTGATTGGAACTTAGGTAATATAAATTTGAATTCAGCAACTTTCTTAAGATGATTGGCGAAATTCTTGCCACTTGGAAGAGACTGATAAAGATAAAAATGTGTGACCAAGCTAAAATAAAGCATTGATTCTGACCTCATGTCATAAACAACTAACTTTTTTCCTAAGTGTCCATGTGCCAGTATCATATACTTCCAGGACTTTCTGGTCATCTTTTCCTCAGACTAATATCTTCTGCACTTTAGAAATAATATTGTGAGGCTTGTCAGTACATACAGATTCTAATTCTGTAAATCACCAGGGCTGGAAATTCTAACTCAGTTGATAGCTCCATCATAAATTCTTCATTTGGGGGAATTACTTACTCATTGTTTGTGTGAGCAATGAAAGGAATATTCCCAGTGGTGAGACTCAAACAAATGGAAAATATTGAAAGAAACTTAGAACTAACTCAGCAGAAGTTATTTATTAATGTGCCCCTTCTGCCTTATATACAGTACAGATCACTCTCAACTTGTTGGTGGGAGTGTTGATGGACAACGTCATGACTCTAAATTTCTTGTTGGCTAGTCAGGGTGGTGTTTGTATCATTGTTAATACTTCTTGTTTGCTTAGATCCGTGAAGCAGGCATAGTCAAGTAGGCTACACTACACCTTAAAGAAAAAGTGACTTGATGCTCTAAGATTGATCCTCATCGTCTCTGGGATTCATTCCATTTGCCTGAGTTAGGCAATTGGGGTTCCTGGGTTTAGCTATCTTAGTGGGACTATTACTTATCTTTGTTTTGGTCATAGTGGTTGTAATGCTAGTTCATTATATTCTATCCAGAGTCTTAAATGCTTTTGTGCAGCAGCTCTCTCATCAAATGATTGTCATGATGATACAGCAGTAAAAAGATCAAGAAGATCTTGTGATACAGTTGACTATGGAGACAAGCAGACAACCTCCCATCAGTGAAGCGCTGCATTTCTGGTCTTCCTTGCATTGACCAACCTCTTGTAAGTGAGAGAATGACTGAAAGGGGGGACTGAGGGACATTGTCTGGACAGTGACTAGATCATATATGGCAATAGAACACTGCCCCCCAACCTCTCAGGCTATTGATCCAGGAAAGCAAATCACGACCTTTGCAACAATTAACCCCAAACAGTCAGAACTTCGTCAATGACTGCCAGCTTTCCTATTTGTGGCTTTCACTTCTAATTCAGGACCAACCAGAGAAAACCAATATATTCCCTGTATTAGTCTGTTTTCATACTGCTGATAAAGACATACCTAAGACTGGGTAATTTATATTAAAAAAATAAAAGAGGTTTAATGGACTCACAGTTCCACGTGACTGGGGAGGCCTCACAATCATGGTGGAAGGAGAAAGGTGAAAGGCACATCTTACATGGCAGCAGGCAAGAGAGAACTTCTGTAGGGGAACTCCTCTTTATAAAACCATCAGATCTCATGAGACTTATTCACTATCATGAGAACAGCACAGGAAAGACCTGGCCCCATGATTCAATTACCTCCCACTGGGTCCCTCCCACAACACATGGGAATTATGGGAGCTACAATTCAAGATGAGATTTGGGTGGGGACACAGCCAAATCATATCACTCCCTAAAAAAAAAAACAAAACAAAACAAAAAAAAAACAAAAAAAATCACACAATATGTCCCATTTTTATAGCCTGTTTCCAGCTTCCCCATGCCAACAACTTCCAATTAGAGCATACCTGAAGACTCCCCCTTTTCTGTCTCTCTCTCTCTTTTTTAAAAATTAACTATAAAGCTTTCTTTGCCTCTTCTGCCTGGGTTTGAGCCTCTGTCAAATGGAAGTGATGGTGGCTGATTCCTTTGCTATAGTAAGCTTTGAATAAATAACCTCTATTTTTCTCATTTTGGTTGTCTGTGTTTCTACAAGAAAAAAGTAAAATCCTCTTGAAATTGTATACAATGATTAAAAAGACTTAAAACTCAGAAAACCTCTACAACTATTCCATAGAAAAACTGAGTTATTATTAATATTCAATGAATGATTTTGCTTCATGGTGATATGTTAACATTAAGGTCAGATAATTTCTTTTTAGCAGGGCTTTGTGAAAGAAGGGCCCTGGGGATCTGAAGGCAGAGATGTTTCTCTCTGAAATGTATGAAAAATAATCAAAGAAAGTCTGGAAAGAGAGGGGAGTGGGTTGCAGTGTATATATCATATACACTCCTCTGAACCCCACAGCACTAGCTACAGACTGAATAATTTCTTGACATTTGTACACAAAGCAAACTGTACTGAGCTCATCCACAGGTAGTGTGCAATTCAGATTTGTTTCATCCAGTAATCTCTAAGATAAACTGTTGTGTTGAGTAAATAAGTGGTTATATCTTTGCCTGAGACCCCAATGTCAAAATTTCACTTCTTGTATCTTGTTTATTTCTACGTTTTCAGGTAAAAAATTTATTATAGTGATAAAAAGAAGATGTTGTACGATAAAGGATGTCATCTTTCAAGAGTCATTATGACAAATTATTAACACTACAGTCACTGTGTGAGGTAAGTTTGCAACTCCTCTAAGGTTGCATAGCTTGTAAGTGGCAGAGCCTGGATTTGAACGATATTTAGTCTGGGCTGTTAACCATGCCGCATAACATCGCCTCTACTGCCCAGTAGGGGGCACTCATTAGCTTGCCCTTCATTTGCCAAGTACCCTTGTGACCTTAGGCAAATTATTAAATTTTCTTAATTTTATGTTTTGAAAGCTGTAAATGTGTAGATTGGACTTGAGTAGCTTAGGTCAGGGGTCAGCAAACTTTTCTATAAAAAACCCGGTAGTAAATATTTTAGGCTTTGCAGACTATGTGATCTCTGTAACAACCAAAGCAGTCATAGAAAATAGTAAACAAATGAGCATGTCTGTATTCAATAAAACTTTGCTGACCAGGTAGGGTGGCTCACGCCTGTAATCCTAGCACTTTAGGAGGCTGAGGTGGGTGGACTGCAGGGTCAGGAGTTCGAGACCAGCCTGGTCAATATGGTGAAACCTCTTCTCTACTAAAAATACAAAAATTAATTGGGCGTGGTGGTGGGCGCCTGTAGTCCCAGCTACTCTGGAGGTCGAGACAGGAGAATCACTTGAACCTGGGAGGCGGAGGTTGCAGCAGTGAACTGAGATCACGCCACTATACTCCAGCTTGGGTGACAGAGTAAGACTCCATCTCAAAAACAAAACAAAAACCAAAAAATCTTTGCTTATAAAAACAGGTAGTGGGCGCATTTAGCTTGCTGGATGTATTTGCCAACCCTTGGTTGACTTCTCTGTAAGTAAGCCTCTCTCTTCTTTGATAAGCAGGGAACAATGGAAGGAAATTAACATTGACTGAGCATGTGCTATGAACTAAGCATTGTACTCAAGACTTTTATAGTTATTTCATTTAATCCTCACAATTTAATCTCTATGCTGTAGAAAAGAAAGTGGAGTTTTAGGAAGCCGAAATAGATTGTCCACAATCACACAGCTGGTGGGAAGTACAACCTTCTGACTCCAAAGTCTCTTTCTTCTCATCATAGCAGCTTCTCTTCTTTGCCATCCTTATATATGCCTTTCCCAGCATCTCTGGCCACCTTTGCTTCTGACTTTCTATTAAGAATGTTGAGAAAGAAATAACGATAACAGCAGTTAAACTTTATGGATGGATGTTATTCAGTCCTCATGATACATATATATATATATATATGGTTATATCTCCATGAGAATCTCATAAAGCATATTTTCCCCATTTCATATATAGGGAACGTCAAGGTCACAAAATGGAAATTGGCAACTCTAGGAAAAGAACTCCCATTTCCTAACTTCTGATCCCTAACTAGGACTTTATTTCTAGTCAACACTGTTTAATTAACACAGGAGAATATTTTCCTTTCTCTGAACCTCTCGAAGTACAGCTGCCAAGTCAATTCCGACCAACAGAAGTAGCTGAGACTGGATTAATGGTTTTGGGGGGAATATCAAATTCAATGCAACAAAATTCTGTTAAAGCAATATGGATTGGTGTCCAGGAAATATCAGAAACTCTTGTGCTTTGTCAACAACTTGGCTATTAGGCGGACAGCCACCTGGATTTCTCTTTAAGGAGTTCCCCACATGAAAAATGGCTCCTCAGAACATCTGACTCTTAGATTGACCAAAGTTCTGGTCAGGAAGAAACCTCTGTCTTTGCTGACAGTTTCCAAAATATAAACACAGAGGCTTGAGGCTAGGAAATCTTTTCATTTTTTAAAGCTGTGTATTGAAAGAGAGAACCTGGGACTCTTCCCTGGTGATGCTACTGGAAACTTTTCAGTGCTTTTTTTTTTTTGCAGCCCCATTAGAGCCAGTTTTCAGCTTGAATTTCAGGAGAGCTTCTGAGGAAGAATAAGCATGCCTACCTCCTAGTCTTCCCGTTTGTGTCCTGGGCCTCTTATGGCTTTGGTCTGTAAGCAGCAGAGACTGGCTCAGGCTGATAAAGAAGAGAAGAAATTTATTAGATGGTATCGGGCAGCTCATGGAATGGTTGGAAAGCTGCAGAGCAGGTGTGAGGTGAGGGCTCGAGTGGAATGATCTGACGAGCAAAGTGCTCCCTGATCCTCCAGTATTGCTTGACTGTGTCAGGGTCTGACATTGCAACCTCAGACATTGAGGTGGGAGAAAGGGAGGATAGGAGAGGAGAGGGGAGGAGACGGAAGGGAAGGGTAAGAGAGGGGAAGGGAGAAGAGAGTAGAAAGGCAACGCAAGGAGAGAGATGTCTCCTTGTGTCCCTAAGATCTTGATTCAGTCCTGTGCCTTAGACGCAAATGAAACCAGGAAAGCAAGTATCTAGCATTCCTGCCTCTTTAAGGAGAAGCAATTTTATCCTACAGTGAGACTCATACTGGGCAGCAACAAAAATGACTAGTGTCCGTGATAGTTTTCTGCCTCAAAGCATCGTCCTTCACCAACCATTGCTCTCCAAGGAACCCTCTAGCAACATCCTCTCTGGATACTGAATGCTGAACTCTTCCTTCTTGTCTTCTAAACCTCAGAACTTTCTCTCTTACAAGGGCTTAATGGGTCATCCACAGAATCCTGGCATTTCTGTTGCAGAAGCACCTGAATGTTCATCTAGGGCAATGTTTTGAATATGCTCCGGGGAGCCACAGGGCTTCTTCAGACACCCCACGGGAGTGAAGGCCCTTTCCTCCCTCCTACCACCACACACAGCCTGTTGTGATTTGGAGCAGGTAAGTTTTGAACTGTTTTGCATATTGGGTTTTTGTTTTTTTGAAGACAGATTCCAAGGCTAAAAAAGTCTTATAGGTGTAGCCCATGCCCCTCTGTCATGTCTTGCTCATCTTTGTAACCCTGCACCTACCACAGGACCTGATGCTACAGAGGTGCTTCATAAGTATTTATGAATGGAAAAAAATGCATATTTTATTCGTTCATCCATTCATCTACTCATTAGAGAATCACTTGTTCAACTCCTATTAGGTCGCAAGGACCATTTACCCATCACTTTCATTGACTGTCAGTCTTGGGTTAGCCAGTGTATATGACTAGAAACGTCCTATTCCTCTCCCACTGCACTGTCTCTGTGCAACCCATGCTGAATCTCAGGCTGTGTCAGCCTGAGGGTTGAAAGTTAGGTCTTATTAATAGTAACAGGCATTATTATTATTCTTGGCTTTACTCCCAATCTGATATTGCACAGTTTCTCTAGTTTGGTGACCTCATTTCTCTTTGAGGCACAGTCTATTGTAAACTTTGTCTCTTACTAACACACAAGATAGAAGTGGTGGGAAGAGCCTTTTGCTGCAAAGATTATGGAGCTTTAATAGAATATATATCTGAAAGTGCTTTGAGGAAAGGAAACTGCTCTTCAAGGGTCAGAGGTTGTTATTAAGTAGGGCTGCCTGCCAGCCAACTGGGTACTTGTAAAAAATTGAGGATGCCAAGGAGAAGATACTCGCCAGAATAATTTATGCTGTTAATAAAAAAACACTTGGCATTCAGTCAAACCTTAGTCTTCCCCATGGGAAAACCATTAGCTTGTTGGTAGTAACTTTATTTGATACTGCTATCATTGTGCCAGCTATGTGAGCTAGACCATGGCCCTTTGCTTCATTCAGCTAACATTTAATGAATACCTTTTAATGTTTCATTTGCCCATCCATCCATCCATCCATCCATCCATCCGTCCACTAATTCATTCAACAAATACTTACTCATTAAACAAATATTTACTAAGTCCCCATATGTGCTAAGGATTAGAAATACATGAAAAGTCAAGAATCCTTGCTGTATCTATGTATCTATGTATCTATGTATGTATGTATGTATCTATCTATCTATCTATCTATCTATCTATCTATCTATCTATCTATCAATCAATCATCTATGTATCTATCTAGTTTGTGTGTGTGTGAGATAGAAATTGCTTTCAGATAGTAGATCAGGTCATCTTCTCAAGACGTTCCATTAGAAAAATTATAATAGTGTCTGAGAAGGAGAAGACATTTTTTTCATGCATGATATTTAAGCAGCTTTAATTGTCTGGTAGCTTTTACAATGCTCTACTGATTCCTGAGTCGTCATATGCTGTGTAAGCCTCATTAAAGGCTATATAAACCCCTTTTGAGCTTTCTCACAGCTAAGTAATTATGCCTTGATTGATGGAAAAGTAAGCACACCTTGATTGCTTATGTAATTTTGAATTAATTACATTCCTTCCAGATTTGTGCGTTATTGAAAAAGATGCTTATAGACTGATTCTAATTAATGTATAACTTTATGATATTCATAGAAGCTTTAAACACTTAAGATATTACAGCTCCCCAGGTTCAATTCATTCATTCATTCATTCATTCGTTCGTTTGTTCAACAAATATTTATGGAAATTTTAATATGTAGAAGGTGCTTTGGGAGTGGGTGTGGTAATGTAGTGAATGCATAACGCTTGGTACCTACTTCCTAAGGTGGCAATGAAAGGTGTACAAATAACCACGAGGTGAAATGGTGATAAATCTGGTCTGGTTTTCTGTTGTCATTTTCACATGTATCAGTCCATGTGATTTTTTTAAAGAAAATAAAAAACCACTTTGAGGAAATTTCATGTAGGGAATTGGTTACATGGCTGAATGGAAAAGAGGAGAAGTCAGTGAGGGCTGGTAAGACCACAGCAGAAAGTCCCTGCTTCCTGTAGTCCAGACTAAAAGGAGAGAGTGTTTCTGAAGCCCTAGGGCAGAGGTCACCAGAGAAGGCTGGACCATGGCAGACCTGGCAGATGGGAGCTGGAGTCATGGCAGTGATGCAATGATATGGCTCTTAAGCATAGAGACCAAATGAGGGATGCTTTGGCCTCCCCCTTCCTTTTGCCCTCTAGTCTCCTCTGGCCCCTGTGGTAAACAGAGGAGAAAGGCAATGAATGGGTCTGAAGGCAAACTGGCCCAAGACTTGCAGAGAACTCTAAGACTGATGATGGCCTCATGCACATTACACTTCAATGTAGAGAAAGTATTTATATCATACAGAAGCCACACACAAAGCCTGCTGTTGCCTAAGGGAACCTCAGTCTGTGTGTACCTGTGTGTGTGTGTCTGGCATGCACACTGCGGGCTGGGGTGGAAATAGGATGGGGTAGACCACATGATTGCAAGAAAAGGGAGATTCCTCCCAAGCAATGGATCAAATGGAGATGCTCAGTAGTAAGCTGTTGGACATCAAGGTAAGATATTTGGAAAGAGAGAAAAAGGATTAAATCTCACTTTTTGATTGAGCTGAGGTGAGGATCCAATGATTTAGAGAGTGTAAAAATATATCCTTCCTGGGAAGTATTTAGGAGCTGTTTAATACATTAACCAATTAATTCAACAAGCATCTCTTAAAAACTATGAACTGCAGACCAGGTGCAGGGTTACGTCCTAGTGAAAACATGATGAGCAAAAACAGACTTGCATCTGGCCTTATAGATTTTACAGCCTAGTGGCTGAGAAAAATATTTATTTTCAATGTGAATAAGTACTAACTGTGATAACTGCAATAAAGGAAGAATGCGGGGAGCTAAATGGTATATTGTAGGGGATCCTGGTTTAGCCTGGGCTCAGGGAAGGCTTCCCAGAGGAAGAGGCAAATCAACTGCAATTTTTAAATATCACAGGAGTAGGACTAAAAAATAGGAAGAAGGGAAGTGGGGAAGAGTGTTTCGGGCATAGAGAGGAGCCGTGCAAAGGCCCTGGGGTGGGAGCGAACATTCCAGTGGGACAGGCTGTGGTGGGAACGAGAATCTTTAAGTGGAGTTTTTTCAACAGTTTAAGCAACTATAGTTGAGGGGACTCACATATTAAACTTTTCAGTAACCTTCCAACCCTAAAATTATATGATTTACAGTATTTAATTGCTTGCTGATGCTGAGTTCAATCCAATGAAAGATGCTTTGAGAGAGAAAAGGACAGCATGAGATGGGGTGCTTAGGTGAATAGAATGTAACACACCAACAAGTCGAGTAACCATATATGACAGTATATGATTAAGTGCTACAATGATGAGCCCGTATGACTGGGAAGATTGGAGGTCAGGGAAGAAAGTGGAGTAGGATGGGGCTTCCCGTTGTCATGTCTCCTGACCAGACAGCTGGAATTCTCCACTCTGTGGGAGGAGATCTGACTGAAGAGAAATCTTGGCAGCCAGTGGCGATCTGTATACCAGCTGTCAGCTGTGCAACTATCAGGAAGGAGCAGGGACACTGTGGGTACCATGGCTGCTTTGGGCTAGGTGCTTTATATGTATTGTCTCAGTCTTTAAACCAACTGTATGAAATAGTAAGTAATATTCCCATTTTACAGACAAGGAAACCAAGATTTGGATGACATGTGATTTAGATGACATACCCGCAGTCATACAGTAAGATAGTGGCTGACCTGGGGTCAGAACCCAGTTCTGTCTGGCTCTGGACTCAATGCTTCACCACAGCCCTAGGCTGTATTAAACTGTAGTTTGTGTGACTTTGTGTTTGTGTGCATTCTTGCTTTATTTCATTATCATTATCATCATTAAAAACATATGCATGTACTATAGCATGTGTTCTTAATGATGGAGGGAGAGTATAAATGAGGCAGGAAGGTAAAGTTTAAAAAAATCTGTTATACATCAAGCAATACGCCTGCCAATTACATAGAATATTTCACTTAATGTTTACCACCAACTTCATGCTATATATTATTCTCTCTATTTTACAGATGAGGAAAATGAGTTAAGTATCAAGTGTGAGATCTTTCATCAATCAGGGGAACAGAGCTGAGATTAGATTCTAGGTATAATTGAGTCCAAATTCCATGTTCTTTCCTAGTTCATCACATTAGTCTCTGAACCCTTTAAGTCAGTGTTTGTATCCTGCACAGTGTTGTGGGCCTTCCAGTGTCTAGTAAATATTTGTTCATTTGTTACTCATTTAATAAATACTATTTGTGCACTCATTTTATGCTGGACACTGTAGAAAGCACAAAGAATGGAAAGGAATTCTTTTAATTACTTTTTTAAGTTACGAAAACAGTGTGGCATTTAATTGTTCTCATACTGTCTTTGATTTTACTCAATGAATATTAGAACTTAAAGAGACCTTAAAGACCATGTAGTCAGTGTTTCCACACTAAGAAAAAGTTCTTGTAATCAAGATGCGAAAGTTCCCAATAAAATACTAGCTTACAGAATCTGGCAGCATATTAGATAATACTATACCATGAAGAAGATGAGTTATTTCAGGAATATAAGGATGAATCAATATAGGGACAAATATTAATAAAAGTCTGCATATTAATAGATCTAATGACAAAATCTCTATAATCATTCTCCAGAGATAATGAAACTTAACTAATGCAACATCACAAATGTCTTATGTACATACAAACTATATATATTACATGTACTTATAGGTGCAATCACATATGCACAATCATGCACTATATAGCAATATTTTGGTCAACAACGGACGGTATATATGACAGTCCACATATAAGATAGTGCTCACGGCTGGCCGCGGTGGCTCACGCCTGTAATCCCAGCATTTTGGGAGGCCGAGGCGGGCGGATCATGAGGTCAGGATATCGAGACCATTCTGGTAAACACGGTGAAACCCCGTCTCTACTAAAAATACAAAAAATTAGCTGGGCAAGGTGGTGGGTGCCTGTAGTCCCAGCTACTCGGGAGGCTGAGGCAGGAGAATGGTGTGAACCCAGGAGGCGGAGCT